TTAGCCTTTTGGTGGTCGAATCGTTGACGGAATTCGATCTAAAATGTTTGTCAGAAATATTGGTAAGGTAGTTCAACGTTACATGGGCCAAAAAAGAACCAATGGAAATAATAGTGGTTTAGCGAACATAAATAATATTTATAATTGTCCTAAAAAAGCCAGAGCAGATGTCTTTATCGATTTTTATTATTATGCTTAATAATGGAGAGCCAGCTGCGGATCGATGACTTCACAAACTAGGGCTGACGTTCTGTGAACGGCGCAGATCTGTCACTTGACTCGGCTCAGTTGACGGAGATCGTGGAGCTCAGGTATATGGACCTAGAGAGTAGCTTAACTCTTTCCCTCGGAGTCTCTGTATGTAGAGAGCATGCTGGAGGATAGTACGCCACTGGTCGAAAAATATCTCATCTTCAGATAATTCCTCAGATCATCAACCACTCACCGTTGGTCATGAAAGTGGGCCTTAATAATACTTCTTTCCTGGGCATACTGTCGGAACGAACCTCTAAAGAGAAGGCTGATGAAATTTTCTGCTAATGTGGCTGTCTAAACTGCTTAGGGCATTTCTACCTGGCTTGCTGTTGTAGCAAAAAATGCTCTGTCAGCACCAGGTTGGTTGGAAGAATAGCCAAGATACCCTGAAGTGTTAAACCAGGTTGTGCTATGGCCGGGAGTCTTCTGGTATGAGGCTGCAGAAGTTAAAGTTCAAAACGCCCATTTTCGTGGCACTCGATCGTCTTGTCGGTCACGGGAGGAAATCGAAGTAGGTTGCTTTTCCATTGAAGACTGTCTGATTTTTGTCGGTAGCAAAGATACCCAGCTGTACGACTAACAGCTCTGTTCTTGATGTACTGCCCGTAAACGACTATGAGAAAGCAGACGAAGCCTCGGCAACTCCACTATTATTTACTTCAGATTTGCATATTCGAATTTTCAAATACCGAAAAATACGTATTTCTGCCGGTATGCCTGATGTATTTTGGTTTCATTCATCCTCTTTAATCCTACTCCACAGCTTTATCAAAAATATGGGTCAAAAAATCGTTAGAACAACGAAGACAAGACATGTGTATCTCAAAATGCTCAAAACAAGATTTTTTTAGGCTTAGTTTCCGAGAAATGGTCTTATCGTTAAGTTAGCTGTAAGCCAAATTTTTCCTGTGTATAATTCGGATAGGCGTGTTCTTAAAATCAAGCAGAGCTGCCAACAGTGTGATATTGGCTACAGGTACTTTCCAATTTCACAGTCGATAGCGTGCAGCGTTGGGAGTTCTCAGTAGCTAAGGTGGTAGAGGGCTTTCTTCTTGCCTGAATGGCCCAGGTTCGAGATTCCGCTTCGTCACTTCCTCCTGGATAACAAGGTGGTGTTTTTAATATGACCTAATCATGGCATGCAGATATGCAGTTAATAGAAATAAACAACGATGCCTTAGAAAAGGGGGGTAGTGGATATGACTCTCTCATAGCAAAATCGTCCCCTAAATGATCAATACTACAAATAATGCAATATATGTGGCAAATCGAAGTCGAATATATATGTATGCCCTTAAAAGTATGTACAATGTACCCAGCCATCTAAAGAACGACAGACAAGACGTGGTGTTGCTAAGGTAGGATACCTACTCGGCAGCAAATTTTGAATGTAAATGAAAATTTAAATATCTAGAATACTTCATCATCCTATTATTCTAACCATGAATTTCCTGTGCCTTAAATGTAAACACCTTAATTTTAGTATCTAAATTAAAATTTGCAATGAATAAATCAATTACCAGCAATAAATATTATTATTCTTATAGTGTACTTTTTTTAGCTATTTAAAATAAATTCTTCAACAGAGCTGTAACAGTATCAACATAATCTGATCGATTAGATAGAAAACTTTAATTATTTTCCGGAGTGCCCTGAATGACAAGCTGTAAACCTAAGCCTAATTTAACTCAGCAACTTGGGTAGTTAATAATCATACACTAATAATCAATTTTTTAGGTAGTAGTAAAAAAAAAATTTTAATAAAAACAATTGTTTTCGTAACCCATACTACACTTTTATGATTTTCGTCTGTATTTTCATAATAAATAAGTTTTTTTGTAAAAATTCCTTAGGTATTAAATAGCTGTAATTTGGAATGTTTAGATTTCATCAATACAAAAAAAGGCATAATGATAAAAGCTAGTTGAATAAATGACAAATTTATGATTTTTGATGTGTATAATTACTTAGTATTTTATATAAAATTTTTTGGAAGAAGTAATTGAATTTAGGTAGTAAGCTTATAGGAAAATTGCTGAGAATTATATGACAAAGTAGTTTAATAACAAAAAAAAAACATCTGAGATAAAAATCCTAAAACTGTATTTTTAAGACAATTTATCTTATTTGGTAAACTTATGAGATATTTGTACAAATTAACGTCTGCACTAATTTATATATTCAAAACATCTTTTAATGAGCAACTTTAAGTAGAAATTTAGTGGGACCGTTGTAGATCAACGTAGCTATGTTGTACATACTGCGTTTCTACACAATACTTTGTAATAAGAGCGATATATAATGTTATTAAGTTTTTAAATAAACATTTCAAAATAGTGTTTTCGAAAGGAGTTATGATATCCCCTTAAAAATAGCTTTTAACAAAACTAAAATGTTAAGTAACTTTGATGAGTTCAGTTCATATTTTGTAAGGAATTTTTGAAGCCTTCATACAGTGGCAATGAATAGTTTTTTTCTTTTAAATCAGTAGCCTTGAAAAGTTCTAAAATCAACATATAATAACGGTAAAGTTTTTTTTTTTACTTTTGGTGCAGCATAAATTTTGTATAACATTCATAGTATAATACTAATTAATACTCGTACTTTAACAAAATCAAACGAAGCAATATTGACTTTTGACTGGTACTTAATGCAAATCTCACATCAAATACATTAATGCCTTGCTATGTCGAAAGTTATAAAAATGTTAGGGCAAAAGTCAATAGTACTAAACAGTATTATACTACAAATATCATACAAAATGTATGCTGTGCCAAAAATTAAAAAAAAAACCTTACTGTTTTTATGTTTTGATTTCAGAACTTTTTGAGGCTACGGATTAATAGGAAAGAAAACTATTTGTTGTCACTGTATGAAGACTTCAGAAATTCCTCACAAAATATGAACTCAACGCATTAAACTTACCTAACATTTTAGTTTTGTTAAAAGCTATTTTTAATAGTTCATAAATGACTAAGGATAGAAGGGTCGGTATTTACGACAGGGCAAATAAAATTTTAGAAGTAAGGAAAAATGATTTTACAACTCATTATATAGAATGTATAAAATCAAGTAATAGTAGCCCACAAAGGTAGTGGTAAACCCCCAAGTAAGCTATATTTTGACACAGTAATGTTCAACAAATAGTAAATAAAAGAAACAGATGCTGTCAGTAGAAACACAGTTTTTGGAAATGAATTTAAAAAAAAAAATCATTTTCAATAATTTTTACAATCGTATTAGAAAATTATCAGTGCCCTCTGATGAGATTTAGAAAACGTCCGTGATCAGTGATCCCTTAGAAGTTAATTGGCAGGGAGTTAATAAATACATGCAAAATTGTACTTATAATTTACTGCTCCTTTGTTATTGCAACGTTCCGATGGCTATTTGTGCTAGCCTTATCAAGGTAAACAAAATTAAATACACATTTTTTAGAGACTTTCTGAAAATGTACTTAGAACAAAGTTACCATAAGACGCAAATATATCTCTATCTTATGTACGCGAGAGGATTATTTATACAAACATTTCGTAAGTATACTAGCACACTTGTTGAAAAGCGAACGATAGACTAAAAATACACAATGTCAGTTATCATGCTTATGTAGACAGCGAAGCAAAGGTAAGCGAGGAAAGTTGAGTACGTTGAACGTCTTCCTTCTTATTCATATTACTTTTATCAAGTTTGATGTGAATTATTTCCAAAATAATTTGTTCATAATAATGTCAAAGATTTCTGTATTATCTCAATAGAACTCATGGTTATATTTAATCTGATGTGCATAAACGACAGAATCATTTATGCTCATTTATGCGAACTTATGTGGTGCGCTTAATCTCACGCACGTACGACGTAGAACAATTGTTGCAATAAAATTCATAGACAACATTTGCCGCTTTGAGTTGATCAGTTCTGTCTTTACCCAAAGAGAAGACGAAATTTTGCTTATTGTTAATAAGGGTTTAAGTGCAAATGTTGTAAGGTTTTAACATTGTTGATATTTTTTGTTTTGCGATGTATGGTATGCCAATTTTGCAAAGAGAGCAGGTATTTTACAACGTTTTCTTATGAATAATGTGTTTTTGACTTTTTAATTTCTGTTTTACATTTTTATTGATAAATCTTGACGGATAGTTGTTATTGATCAAAGTGTTCCTTACTTTAACAGCATTTGAACTGTAAAACCTTGTACTTAATAATAATGACACTCTAACATTTTAATTAAAAACAATGTTTCTTTTGAGACTAATTAGACGATCTGAAAAGTAATTGAAAATTCGTGCAGATGAAATAGGTCGTTCAAACCAGTTAAAGCTAAAACAGATAGAGTTTTTAATTATTGTCAAATCTAAGAATTTTGTTTGATTGTCAATCTTGATTTCATGAGCAAACTGTAATTGAAGGTGGTATGAATTAAAAACATTAAAAACTTTGTTAATGTGATCTTCTTTAACAAAGAGAAATATGTCGTTTATGTAACAAAAATAAAACATAAGTAATTTTTGTATGTATTGATTAACTCTGTTGCAATTCAACCCCAACAGATTAGTGATCACGGATGTTTTCTAACTTTTTATAATTGTGTGTTAAATGCATTACTAAATCTCAATCTCACATACGTTTAATTATGTGATTAAAAATGTGAATTGAAAAGTTATAAAAAAAGATGCAAAATTAAAAACATTAAATTATTTTCCAACTTTTTTCCAAACAACTATCGATATTTTAAGGTGTAGGCATACCTGTGGTTTACAGTCATCTGTTACTAGAAGCTTGTGTTTGAACTCGTTCTCGGTGGTCTGTATTGATTGCTGCTGCTTGTGAATAGTGTTAAATTTAGTAAGCTCCAGCTGGGGTGTTGGCAGTTGCTCGATGCCTGGACTAGGAAGTGGCGACGGTTTTGGGGTAGAGTGAAGCGACAGTCGATTGCTTCGCAAGCCTACCCCCAAAAATTTTCGGTCGGACGTGGTCGATTTTATAACTGTAGATGTTTGTAGTGCCATGGTAGTAATTTGTTGCTTCTTCGATGCAAAGCTACTACTGCTACTGCTACTGGTGTTGAGCCTTGGTAGAGGTGGTTTTGCTTCTTTCTGCGCTCTGAGGTCACCTGTTACATCGACGTACATAATACTTTACATTGCATTGTTTACTGATGTTGTAATTCATGTTTTAGTTTTATTTTAATAAAAGTTAATCATCATAGTGATTTATACTGAAAAATAACAAGGGAAAACCATCCTTGATGCTGGTCTATTTAACCAAACGGAGCTGATATGAAATGGTTTAAAATAGTTTATTGACTGATTTAAAGTATTAAAATCGTGATATTTTGTTAAACACCAATAACATAGCGTTTAACTGATTAAAACTAATGGTTAGTTGCTTAGAGTTTTATAATACTCCTGCAGATGTCTAATGTAGAAAATAATGTATAAATTGAAACTTAGTCTTAGAGTATTGAACTTATTTTTAAGGTGGTACTGTTGTTAGAGTTGCAGTATAATTTTTTTAGGTGTTAAATATCCTAATACCTATACATGCGAAAAAATCAAGATTTTTAACAGATATTTCTATCTTCTCTCACATGCTGTGCATCAAAATTTAAAGCAAACATAGTTATACCTTACATCTTTAGCTTTTATTCTACTAATTTTTAATGAAATTTAAACAGTAGTTCCTTTAAAAAATAAATTTAATTACTATTTGCTATTTAAGCCCATGCAAATACATTAGAATAAAAGTATTCATAACTTATCTTCTACGCTGTGCAGGCTGACCAAATTTCAATTGAGTCGTTACAACAGTAATACCGAAGGGTAAACTAAAGTTTGTAGTAATCTAGAACATAATTATAGTATCAACATTATACTACCGTGATATTGGTTAATCGATTTCCTTTCGATGCTTACTACTATCTTTTTTTTTTTATAACACTTTTCTAACCAATATTTGAATGATTTTTTATGATAAATAGATTAATTAATTTACTCCAAACAAATCAGATCTGAGGGTTAAGTTAATTTATTTTTCCTAATTTATGATTAAATTTACTACCAAACCAAAGCTATTGAAAAATTTAATCTACGAGCCATTCAAAAACTAAAAAGTGCCTGGATACTCAAACGTATAACATCAAGATATACCGTAAGCGAGAGCTTGAAACTTTCTCTCACCAAGCTACCAAGCTCCGAGAGCCACTATCGTCTGCGTTATGGGCATTAAAGGCGTTGCCTAACTACTTCAAGTATTAGCAAATAGTCTGGTACTTTGGCTAGAGAGCTCTACTCATTAAAGTGCTGCTGTATATAAAGCAATGTTGTGATAAATACTAATATCCGTGAGAAAATTATCTTATTATTATTTATTGAGAAATTTTAGGAAAAAAAGCTCAATTTGTTGCTCTGTAACAAGTGATAAAAAGTGATTATAAACTAGACTGTTACTATGCTTTAAGCGCGGCAGATTTTAATAAAGAAAACATTTTCTTTACATATATATTAAATTTTTACCTTATACTTAGGATAATATGTAATACCCTGGCAAGACGGGTTACGTCAAGGCTATAGTAGTCTCCTATTTTCCACCGTCCACCAGTGGCTACTCTCTCCTACAACTAGGGTAATATGAGGATCTCCAGGGCAAAGCAAACCAGAGCGATTCTCTAGGTAAAGTAGTCAGTAAACTGGCGGATATTCAGGACAGTGCAAACTTGGGCGATCTCGAGGTATTGACTGATTATTGAGCTTATAACTAGCATAAGAGAGTGTGTACTTGTACATTGTAGAGTAAGTGACCCCGAGAGGAAGAGTACTGCGGGTAAGGGGTATTACAAACGTGACTTCGCTTCTACATGCTCTCACTAAGGTATCTCGTAATACGTGTTAGAGAAAGTATGAATCAAACTGTCTAACTACAAATCCTTATTGTCTTCTGTCTTTTTATGCGTCCTTCTCTATCTTACTAATACATAAAGCAAAGTCACTGAAACCGTTATAATCACTAACCGCGAAACCAACTGAACTGATTTTGCTAAGACTTTGCATACTGATTCTTGATAATTCCGAAATGGTTTTCGCATAGTTTTTTTCTTAAAAAAAATAGTAACAATATCGATAAATAAGCTCAAATATTTGCTAAAATAAGCTAGCTTTGCGTTTTAGTTCAGTAGGACCCACTAGGTAGCGTCGAGGTAAAATTGAAGCCACCCGTAATCGTAGATAGTGAAGAGTAGTTACCAGACGCCCCCTCGAGTTGTCGATTATCGTAGTCGTTTATGGGCAGTACACCAAGAACGGAATTGTTAGTCGTGCAGCTGGGCATCCCAGCGATCCATGACAATCTTTTTGGCATTTGGAATGTTAAAGTCTCCGGGGAAAATACCAGGAGACGTGTCTAGCCAGAGCACATCCAGCTCCAACACTTAAGAGTTTTGTGGCCGTTCAACTATCTAGCCTGGAGCCGTCAGAGAATTTTCTACTTTAAATGCAAGCCAGGGAAAACAGCCCTGAAGAGTACGAGCAGCCACAACGGCCTCCTTCTTAATGGTCGTCCCAACGGCATACCTACAGAGAAGGTATTCTCCAGGCCCACTTTCCTGACTAACGATGAGTGGTTTGTTATCCGGGGAATGACCTAAAGGCGAGACATTCTCTGGTCAGTAGCGTACCTCCTTCCAATACGGTTTCCGTATACAGAGAGTCTTAGAATAAAAGTCAAGCTACCCACAGCTGGCTCTCCATAATCAAGGATAATACTAAGGAATAACTGTAAATTTTACCACTGACCCTTTTAAGGTCCAATGTAAGTGTTGACGTTCCCTACTTAACCGTCAATTTTATTGGTTCTTTTAAGGGCCACCTAAGTTTAAACTACCTTGCTAACAAATACATTTTTGCTACCATTTCCGTAAAAAATCCGTCCACTGAAAAACTTTAAAAAGGTGGCTACTATTAAGCCAAGTCAGTCATTCACTGGCAGACGTTACGAGCGGAGTTATTTATCACAAGACTGGGAAACCAGGAAATCACTGATCCTCTCCAAGGTCTGCACTAGGAAAACCTAACAGCTATGATGGAAAAATCAATGTGAGCCAATCAGACAGTCTCCAACGGGCAAGTATGACGAACCAATCTCTGCTCTTTAGATCACCAAAACAACTGAGTCTGAAAAAAAAGGTGCTTTAGACACTAGCGTCTTTGACGTTATATCAGGAGACGTTGGAAAAGATCTATACAACCAGCTCCAAAACTCTAAACGTTGTAGGTTTCCTCCCAATCAGTGTAGTGCTACAATAACAGGCCGGAGCAGATCACCCTGAGGTACAAGGGCAATTACGTTTGCTAGAAACTTCAGTCAAGAAAGTGTGTACTTAAGAAGCTCACCGGTCCTTTTCAGGGTCATCGGACGTCGAACTACCTTGCCAACACATTTATTACAACCTTATAAGGTTGAAAAAATAGCCTTTAGGGCTCACAAAAGTCTTAACTATGCCAAAAGTCATAATAGTGTCGAATTGGAAGAAAAACTTTAAATGCATCTAATAAATACAGCTTTGGGCGTCCAGAAAATGTTTCTGAACATTTAGTGAGATTAAAGTAGCATCAAAATCAAGAAATAAAGAATTTATTACGTGAGAAATCGGCTTTTTACTACCACCCTCATAGTAGTCCCTTGAATCTTCCAAATTTTTAAATAGGTAGAATATATACTTGTATTTTTGTGGCAATAAAAAAAGTAGAGATGAAGCTCCAGGACTTTTTTGTTATGGTAATAAAGTTGTGAGATAAGAGAATAAAGTATTTGTTTAATTATATATTTTTTGTGAGTTTCAAACCTTTACCGCTTTAAAAAATAGCCCTGTTAATAGATTCTACGGAAGAAACATCAAATCAATGGCCCTTCAGGGCTAACGATTATTTTATGGCATAAGGAACGCACGGTACTTTTCAACATAATTATATTTTTTTCATTTTTTTTAGCTTATTATTTAACCAAATAAACTGTATGGATTCCGAACAAATATGTTTTTATTAAGAACATTTTTTTTTGAGAAGTGTCAAAAATAGATATAAAACTTTTAACTAAAAACGTTTCTTATCACATGTCAATACACTACGGTGTTACATTGAGTGAGTCTTGGGCAAAGCTGAAATGGGGGGAGGGACCATCCATAATATACGTACTAACAAGCATGAGTATATAACGTCCCGTATTCGAACTCTTCTTGAAAAATATCAATAGAATTTCACTATATATATAATGTGTATCAGTGTGATCATCATTATTGACGTCAATATTTAGCTGATAAAAGGATGAAGCAACCGCGGAAGTACTCCATATCTATTTATGTTGTGGCACATTTCCGCACATGGTATGAATCACCTGGGTGATCTTTGATGTCGCAGGGAGCACCAAGAGAGAATCATGAGGGAAAAACAGGTAGTGCTGTGAAAACAAAATAAAAAATGAAGAAATAAGCATCAAAAGTCGTAGAAATATTGCTGAGATTATGAACAATTAAGCAATCAAAAGAATGAGGGAATCTAGCACCTTAATTTCAATAAAACCTTCAACAAAAAGACCGGAAAATGTTGATTCAGTGCAAATTAAAAAAGCACATTTAGTACTTTTATTTTTTAAGCAACATAAAAATATTTCGGAAGCAGGACAACAAAAAATACTTCAACAATTTTCTCCAGAAACAACAGAGACCTCGCAAACTTTGGCTGAAATGCTACAATAATGCAAAATGACCGTCAAATTGACACATAAAAAAATCTTCAAAATAGTGATCCAAATACATTTTGTACGCCTCAACAAGAACTACCTTCAGGAGCGTTAAAAGATTTACAGAAGTCAGAAGAAAAACAGCAAACTTCAGAGAGCCAAGAGCATTTTCAGAAAGAAAAAACAAAACTTTTACAACTAACAAATGAAACCTGCAGCCACACTAGCCTAGTGCTTTACGCAGTGGTTCTTGTAACTCTAGAGCTTAGTAACACATGCTTACGAGTTCAAGACTCAGCCATTAGTTACTTGGCTCGTACCTCTAACAAATGATTTTCTTAAGTGTGTAAATTAAATTTAGGTACAACTGTTCGAAAGCCA